GACTTTATGTGACATCTTAATTTACTGTTTAGTGTCAAAGTGTACGTGTCACATTGTGTTGAATTGGAGTTTTCGTACCCTTGTTCGTATATGAAAAGGATATACTCCCAGATGCATAAATTCTGGAATAGAGTACCTCTATTATACGCTAAAGTTCATAAACCCTACTTGCCTAGGATTGGTAGACAAAGATGAACTCAGCAGGTGATTTTGAACGTAGGAATTCTCACGGACTGGTCGAGCCGCTAGAAAATTTTTGCATCCAACTCACGGACACTCCAGATTTGTCCAGCTATGTTCACTGAAAGCACAGTGACTGGCAGCAAGATGTCCAACTCATCGAATGCAACTTTCTTCCACAATATATTGGTAATCAATAATTTTATGTGTACTGCGATTAGTAAGTCTAGATAGAGAATATTTGTAATTGCTGTTTCGTTTCCGATAGAAGTCCTCTTTATTGATGCCATCAACTTTCCGTTTGAATTTACTGTTGCTACTTGTACACAAAAGTTGGGATGGAAATCGATTCATGAGTCGGAAAATGCGCAAATTTCTATCTTCTGGTGCTCTTTAAGGGATTTCGTTTTGAGCTATTCTAGGTCAACAGAATATGCAGGAGTTCCACAGAGACTACCATAGGTTTTGACCGAACATACTAGACACAAGAAAACCTGTCGACCTACCACGACCGGTTTTGAACTTATTTTGGCTCGTTGGGTGGACCCATTGCTCGAGTTTTTTTCGTAGCCCTACGAACGGTCTCGGCTGGAATCCAGTTGATTCTCCCGTCAAAGACAGATTGGTTTGCAAACGAATGTATTTCACGCATTTTATGTAATTACTTAAGATTACACAAAACTGACGGAAATTTGAAGAGTCCACCTGCTTGATGAGTCTGAAGTAAATCGAAATCGGTCGTGGGATGTCTAAACGTTTTCACCGAGTTTGTGGGTGATTTCTTTCCAGAAAAATTACTGCCACAAAGCACACAGTTGTTTTATTTCTTTCGAAGAAAAGCAAACATTTATAAAATTTTCAATGTGGCTCTTCACTGGAATACTGACGGCATGCTTGAAAGGTGCCAGAATAAAAACCCAGGTGATTTCAGAAGGATTCACTACTTTGGTTTTGTTGTTATCGGACACGTGGTGCCCCATTTTCTGTCCAGCCAATCGCTGGAATAGAGTTTGTCCTTTTGATTCCATTGCTGGAATCATCATTGGGGAAACACCTGCCAGTTGTTCTGGCGAAGTTTCCATCCAGATATCTTTATCAAAAACTCATTATCTCTATCAACTGCAAAAGGGCCTATAATTTCCATAAATTTGCTTTGGAATGGCCGACTACATAAAGCAACTGAATCAGAAAAAGCTCCTCAGGTCACTTTGGTCTAAGTATTTTTACACTGAACAATACAAATGAGTATATTTGCTCAAACATGATTTCACGTGCTTCCAAGCAAATCTTTTACTGAAGTGGCCAACTGTATATGTTGGCGACTCAGATACCTGTAATAGCTGCCTCCGGTTAACAGTGACTGATTTTAGAGGCTGCGTTCAAGCTACTTCAATAAACAGGCAACATAAAACTGTCTTCGTTTGGGGGGTCAGTGTGTACGCTCATGTGCATCATTTTGATCAAGTAGCCCATAATGAATGAGTAACAAAAACTCAGTTTGTCCTTTGCTCGGTATAAAGCAGCGGTTACGATACACTGGGTTTCGATGCGTTTTGGCCCGCATTTAGTGCAATGTATATGACGTAATAGGAAATTATATGAAGACCACAGAATACGGAGGTTTACACCACTGGAACACGAGAGATTAATCGAGAAAGCAATAATGACAGTGAAGATGCGGTTGGTGAGTTTGTCCTGAATAATAATATGGTTCTGTTCCCCTTCAAATCGTATTGATGTACAAGTTCGAGGGACAAAAACAATGACAATCGAATAACTTAAGATATAATAAGCCTGAAGCAAAAGTGTCTGCATGTTTTGATTATAAATGTCCAAAGTTGATCGTGATAAGGGAAACCGAAAAACGTTTTTACCGTGAGCTTGTGTGTTGCTTCCTTGTTTAGTGTAACCGTTCCGAAGTGGCGGAGTCTTCGACTGCTTTTCGCCTACAGTGAATACTGGGCCTTGATTGGCTGATGGGCCCACACTTCCGACCACTCAGAGCTCGACCTGATGGGCAGCCAGGAGATCAGACTTTCTGACCAATCACATGTGGGTTAAGCAGTTGCGGATTCTAAATGCGAGCAATGCTGTGGTAGGGCGCAGGAATCCACCTAACGGCCGTACTCCAAGTCACCTATACAAAAGCATTATTTCGGCGCTAGCCAACTGTCTTGAAATAGTCAGTGCGGACTAATCGATCATAATCAAGTTGACGAACCAATACGTGTGCCCTCAGAAGCGAATAACTGCATAAACATTTGAACTGTCACTAAATAAACAATGTCACAAGGAAACAAGTGAAATGTTACTTCATAAGTTCAATCGATAGTTTTTGGAATTTCGTTCTGGTTGCTTCATGTCGATTCAGTTTTTAAATAATACTTCCGAACCCATACAAACATGAGCGAAAATTCCGTAAAGCGGGTTTGTTAATCGAAACCTCCCTTCCACAGCCATGCGAAGTTTTATTTATAACGTAACAAGGAAAACAAAAAAATGTAAACAGATAAACATTGACCACTGGAATTCGCAACGTATGAAATGTCAAGCCCGTAGACCCAGTGGCTATCGGATTCGGTTGTCGGCCTGTTCCTTTTCAGA